ACCCAAGGCACAAGACAGCAGGAGACAATGAGGACTTGTCATGATGAGAAGAAAGTGGGAAAAGAAGACATCTGCTGGCCATGTTTCCAGGCAGCATAAGCTGGCAACCTGGCATCCTTCTCTGCGTAGCAGAAGGTCACAAAGATGCTCAGCCCATCCGGAAATTCTGGTCAGCAGCTCTGTCCTCAGTCCTGCAGCTGGCTTTGGGCTTCCTGGGCAGTGGGCTCATGGGAATTCCACCTCATCCTTAGTAGGGCAGGCATCTCCTGCCAGAGAAGCGGCTGCCCAGGCCAGAGATGCCAAAGCCACCAGAGGAGATGGGAACTCCCTCCTGGCTCAGGATGCTGCCAACAGCAGCGGAGGTGCTGGAGCCCACAGCGGTGTTCTGGGGGAAGGAGCTGAGGATGGGTCCGGGCAGGGTGACCACCACGGGAGAGGGCTGGATCACCACGCGGGAGTCCTGGCACTGGCGCACACACGGCTCGTTGCAGCTGTTGGCCAGGGGGGTCGGGCCACAGGGACGGCACAGATCGTAGCAGGACATGGCTGTGGGATGGAGGCTGGCCTGGAGAGGGGACAGCAAAAGACAGTTAATGCGAGCAGCAGCCTGGTGTCCTGCACACAAAGGGAGGAGACACAGACTGGGGAGCAGGGACAGGTAATGCAAGGTGAGAGAGTGTCTTAGCAACCCAGATCCCCTAGAAGCCCACCTGAGTCACCCAAAGCCTTCCCCCCACCTCCTCCCACACTGGCAAGCAGAACAGAGTTGGTGGGAGCACCATCGAGGAGCAAGGCTCACACCAAAGCCTGCACAAACTCAGGCTCAGTGGAGGCAAGGAGAGGAAGAGGAGAATTAGTGAAAGAGAAGAGCAAAGAGAAGGCTGTTGCAGCTCACCTTGTTCACCAAAGAGGAGAAGGCGAGAGATGTGGATGAGGGAGCCTGGTGCTGGACTGGCTTTTATACCAGTCAGGACCACTCATTGGTCCAGAGGCATCCTTTGTACTTACACTGTATATATCAACAAGTTCATCTTGCATGCAAAACACCACAATTAAAGAAAAGTATCTTTTTTTTTCTGTTCCCTGCAACGCTCCCTTTTCATTTCCCTGTTTGTGACATGGCCCTTCCACCATTCTCCTTTCAAGTGGCAGAATTAGAGGCCAAAATACTTCTTGGAGACATGACACGTCAGCACAAGCAAGTGATGCAAGCTAGTGATGAGCAGTGGGTAACCTCAGAAGGGAAGAGCAGCCTTCTACCCTTTGGGCCTTGCTTCAACACTCATTGTGGAGCGGGTTTCCTCATAACCCTGAAGCTTCACCTGAACTTCCAAATGGGAAGTCCAGCATCATCAGCTGCTCTCCCTGATACTATGTTAAAACTTATATTTTAGAATGACTTAGTTTGGAAAGTGCTTTTAAATATCGTCTAGTCCAAACTCCTGACATGAGTTGGGACATATTCCAGTAGATCTGGTTATTCATAATCCATCTAACCTTACTTTAAATGTTCCCAATGCTGGGGCATCCACACCTTTTCTGCGCAGCCTGTTCTAGTGTCTAATAAACCCACCTTACCCTACCCTCTTTCATATTAAAACTACTTTCCCTTGTCTTGTCACTGCTGTACCTGGTATATATTCTCTCCATCTTTCTTATAAGCCACCTTTATATATTGAAAGGCTACAATAACATTTCCATGCAGGCTTTTCTTCAGGCTCAATGACACCAACTCTATCAGCCTTTCTTCATAGGAGTACTGCTCCAGACCTCTGATCATCTTTGTGGCCTCCTCTGGACCTGCTCTAGCAGGTCCATACCATCCTTGTACTGGGGACCCAGAGGTGAATGCAGTGCACCAGGGAGGGTCTTATGAAAGCAGAGTAGATGAGGAGAATCACCTCCCTTGACCTTCTGGTCACACTTCTTTTCATTTACCCCAGAATATGGGTGGTTTCTGAGTAACAAGCACACAGTATCAACTCAAATATGGTTATCCATCAACCATTATGCCCAACCCCTCCTCTGGAAGGCTGATCTCAGTTGTCTAAATTAATTTCCCTGCCTATACTGAAGCTGGGATTTTCTCCAGCACAGAGGCAGGACCTTGCACTTGTCTTTGTTGGACTTCATGAGGTTCACATAGCCCCAGTCCTCACATCTGTCTGAGTCTCTCCTAATGAAATCCCTATGCACTAGAGTATCAAATACAGGAGTCAGATTAATGAATTTCATAAACTTAGTGTCACCCATGAACACCAACCCACTCAGGTTTTCTTAAGCATTGCCTTTCCAGGCAGGGCACCACCGCTCCTGGGTCTTAGATGGTCTCTCTCAGGTTAATTATTCCTCTAGGGAGGACTCAGATCTCAATTCACACTGTTGTCCCAGCTGCCACCAGTTCTTTTGACTCCTTTAGGACCCTCCTCAATTTAGATTTAGCAGATGTGCTTGAAGAATGGATGAGAAGAAGAAAACGTTTAGAGTGTGAACATCCAAACACAGCTTCAGTCAGCTGAGCTCTAGAAGGTACAGAAATGCCTTCTAGCAATCCAATGTCTTGTCTTATCGTCTGAAAGTTGAAAAATATTCAACTTTGCTCACTCCTGATATGTCATGTCAGGGTGCGCATAAACACTAGTATAATACTATGCCAACACTATACACCCATCCAGCTACACATCTCTCTTCTAATCATAAGGGGTTTTGATGGAGTTCAGCACCTTAGCAGAGCAAGAAGGCTCACACTAGGAGGATACTACTCAAATCTCCATTTCAGTAAAAAACTTCATACCCTGGACAGATTAGGTGAGTACCAAACATAGAATAAATATGAGGGAAGAAACACGGGCAGACTGAGATTAGAATGCAGCATCAATTTTTATTGGAATGAAAACAGTGAAAAGTTTCGGGCTGCTACAAATACAACTGACAAACACATTGGCCATTAGGAGGGAAACTACAGGAAGATGGGATGCAAGTCTTCCCCATAACAACGCAAAAGGAAGAAGAAGCAGGGCCATCTAAACATCCTTCAAGGCACAGGACAACAGGAGACAAGAAGGACACCTGATCATGAGAGGGAAGCAGGAAAAGAGGAAAAAATCTGCTGGCTGGGTCTACAGGCAGCACAGGCAGACACTATAACTTCCCTCTTTACTTTGCAGCAGACCAGGAGGGTGCACAGCACAACATGGCCAGCAGCTCTGTCTGCAGACCAGCACCAAGCTTTGGGTTTCCTGAAGGATGTGATCATGCAATGACCTCTTCATCCTTAGCAGGGCAGGTACCTCCTGCCGGAGAAGCGGCTGCCCAGGCCAGAGATGCCAAAGCCA